ATTTAGAAAGGAAAACTGATGAATTCATGTTAAACTGTAGATTTAAAGACCAGATAAAGGGTGCAAGGTAGTGGAAACATGATGGAGTTTTAGGAATGCTTTTGTTCTTTAAAAATGGGCTCTTTTATTAAGTCCTCTTACAGCTCCTTGTCTGTCTTACTTTTCTGTTGCCGTGATAAAGCACCATGGCCAAAGCAACTTGCAGAAGGGAGGGCTTCTGCTGGGCTCACGGTCCTGGACAGAGGGACAGGGGTCCATAGCCACCACAGTGGGGAAGCATGGCACCAGCACCATAGCGTGGAGGCAGGGAAAGCGGGGGCTTGCATCTTCAACTGTCAGGAGACTGAACTGGAGATGGAGGGAGTCTTGAAACCTCTAAGCCTGCCCCCAGAGGCTTACTTCCTCTAGCAAGGCCACACCTCCTAACCCTCCCCAAACAGGGCTCCCAACGGAAAACCAAGCATTCAAATGGCAGTCTTAAGGGGAGGCATCTCATTCAAACCACCACACTCATCTAATAGCTCAATAAGCAGAGTCATAGCAGAAAAGAGAAGATAGCCTTACAGTTTTCAATACACAATACAGTTTTCTCTTGTTCTGAGACAGGGTCTAATATAGCCCAGGTGGGCCTGGAGCTGGCTGAGGCTAGGCATGATTTTGAAGTCCTGATCCTTCACCCCTGGAATCACAGGCCTATGTGCCTTCACTACCCCATTTTGGGCAGTGCTGGGGATCAAACCCAGAGCCTCTGGTAGGCTGGGTGATCGTCTACCCACTGAGACACACCCCAGCCAAGATTCGAGTACGGAACACTCAGCATAGTCTACTGCAGCACCAAGCTCCCTACCAGACAAGTTCCAGGAAACAGAATTATTTGAACAAAGGGACAAATGGAAGAAAACCCATGTGCAGATGGAGAACTAGGTGCTTATTCTCTGCGTTACAATGAAAGAATGGGGTCTGGGAACTGAACTTGGGTCCTTGCCAGAGTAGCTGATGCTCTTAACCATGGAGCCATCTCTCCAGCCCCTGAAAAAAAGGAAACTTATCAAGGACTTTTTACAAACATGCATATCCAGCATTTTATATCACAGCCTCTGTAGGTGAATTTTTCTGTCCCTCCTGCTAGCTCCCAAATAACCACATGGAGACTTCTTATTAATTATGAAAGCTTGGCCAATAGCTTAAGCTTGTTACTAACTAGCTCTTAAATGAACTTAACTTAAATGAACCCATTTCTATTAATTTGCTTTTTGTCTCATGGCTTTATTACCTTTACTCTATACTGCCCATGCTGCTTCCTCTCCATCTGGCTGGTCCTTCTTCCCAGATCCTTTCTGGCCCAAAAATCCTGCCTAGCTATTGACCATTCAGCTTTTTATTAAACCAATCTGAGTGACAAATTTTCACAGTGTATAAAAAGATTATTCCACAACAAGCATCAATAAAAATATTATACTTATCACTCATATGTTACCGTGAGGACAAAACATAGCAATAATTCAACAGAAGTGATGTAAAGTCTTGTGGTGTAAAAAGCAGCTGGTGCCTCCTGAAGTTGTAAGATAGAAAAATGTCCTTGAAATAACACGACACCAGCAAGTACTAGAACCTTCCAGTCTTTCTTCTCCATTCAAAGACAACTTTCTGTGGGTGTCAGCCACTCCTAAATGTGCCTTTTGGTCCCTTCATTGTGTCTATGATTGTTACCAGATAGAGTCACAGCCTGGAGGTAGAATCATTCACCTGCCCTCAATGAACTGATTAAAAGAACCAAATTAAAGCAAAAATCAGAAAAAGGAGATTTATTCAATGTGGCCATTTTGGGAAAGGGAACAAATAGATCCAGCAAGCCCCACCCAAGTCTACCTTCAGGGTCCTGAGGTTTAGGATTAGGTAGAGGTCAGAACTATACATAACTAAGCAGTCCTGGTCAAGATGTGTTGTTCCTGCACGACAATGATTTATCACTGCTTTGGCTCTACACTCCCTCAAGGTGATCTGGAAACAGCATTCTCTCTCTTGGAGATGTTTCATCCAGGCTGGCCCTGGCTATAGCCCTTCTCTTTTTTAGACATGTGATGCCTGGGGGCACTCTAATTTGAGGTTAACACAAAAATACATCTCTCAACTCAGAGGAAGCAAGAGATAGATTCCTTTAGAGCTAAGATACACATTACCATGGTCCCTAGAACATAGCTTTAGGCCTTCCCAAATACAGTGTTCCAACAGGAAAATAGTTTTTATGGGAACAAGACAAAGAAAGCCACAAATCAAGGAATTTTCAGAATACGTTTGGTGTACACATCAGAGAGGTAGTTACAGCAAGATGGGAGAATCTCAACAGGCCTCAGGTGTTTTCTGATAATGCTCTTTGAAAAAAGAATTTTATTTTAGATTTATTTATTTTACGTGTATGAGTGTTTTGTGTGCATATAAACATGTATCACGTGACTCATGGTGTCAGCAGATGAGGGTATCAGAAGAGGGTATCAAATCCCCTGGAGCTGGAGTTACAGACAGTCGTCAGTCACCCCGTGAGCGCTGGCAGTTAAGCTGCTGAGCCATCCATCTTGAGCTATCGCTCCAGCCCCGAGATAGCGTTCTTAGCTCTTCCAGTGGTGGAGGGGAGGGTTTTGCTAAGTTAATGCATTTCTATCTGTTTGTCAGGATGTTAGGGCTGATACAGGTAGGTAAGGCTAGCTGTTTGGTAGGCTAAAGATCACCCAAGATAAACTGTAATTTAGTCTTGAAACTTCAACCTTCCAAACTCCAATCCTGGAGCTTAAGGCGGTCAGCCCTTGCACACAGCTTCTTTTTGGGAACTGTGGGTCACAGGTCTGTCGTTTCAATAGTCTGAGAGCTGAAGTGAGGGGACACAAGAGTTTCTGTAGGAAATCTTCACCCTTGCCAGACAGATGCACTACCATACCTGGTTTATGTAATGCCAGGAACTGAGTCCAGGGCTCTGGGCACACTGGGTAATTACTCCACCAGCCCAGCCACATCCCCACTCTATGCATCTGCCTTTAATCTCACTAATAGGACGGACCAAGCTCCTTTTGAGCTTGCTGATCATTCCATCTCCAACACTCAGGACTGCCCCCAGAAATGAGTGTGGATCCTCCCATGCAGAGGAACAGGTGTCCTGAAGAGGAAGGAGAGTGGGGGGTGGTGGAGGGGGGGTTGGGGGTGGGGGAGGGGTGGTCAAGCATAACAAGGACACTATTGAAAGGCCACCTATGGGCTTAAAATAGCAAAATGGACTGATGGTGCCTGTGGATGCTAAATTTCCAGGCTGGTTTATCGAAATTGCTTGTGTTCAGTAAAGGGGACCTGGGGGGCACTAAAGTCCCCTTCCCTTGATGCCACTCTGTCTGTGGCAAAACCACCTTTCTGAGCCCATGTACCTGTGTGCTCTGGACATATTTTCTTTTCTGGGCTCTGCTCTTTCCCATGAGGGACTGGCTGAAAGTTGTCAGACATCCTTGGCACTCTGAGGTGAAAATTCACCTGTGTGTCCCACCCCAGTGGTGACCTGAATGTGTCCACTTCAGACATCGATGCTTCTGTAAGGGTTTGACTAGAGCTAAGAATTATTGAAGATAAAGTGTTTGCAAACCACAGGAACACAGGCCTTATTGTTCTCTGTGACACTCCAGAGCCTGGAAGCTTAGATATCGGTCTTCTGATGTGTTCGTTGTCATTACTGGGAGCCAGAGGGTCACTGGTCAGAGTCTCCAGAGGGCCACTGATCAGAGTCTCCAGAGGGTCACTGAGCAGAGTCTCCAGAGGGTCACTGAACAGAGTCTCCAGAGGGCTTTTTTAAGGAACACGACCCGTGGGGTTGCACTTGGTGAGTAGCCTAGGTTGTTGTTTCCTCAGATCTATTTTTAGGCACAAGCAGGGACCCACGTGCATGTTTGGTAGGGACAAGACCTGTAGACTCTCCCCAAATCTACATTTCATGTATCATCCAAGTAGGAAACGACAACAGAAAGGTTGTTTTTAGCTTGCAGAAACATTAAAATTTCCATGGTGGTAAAAGACAGAACATGATGGACCGGTCTCTCAGTTCACTCTGCCTTTTGTTGTGAATTAAATGCATGTGTGACTGTGGGACACCATCTCTTCAGCATCTGGAAGTCTGAAAACCACCTTGCGGAGTCCAGCTGACAGATACACTCTCTTAGGGATTTTTTTTTTTTTGCTAATAATAAATCACAAATAAATTTATTTTAAGACAATTTGTTGGTATACACACAATTTTATCATTTAAAAAGACCAAAGTGAATTTGTATGTTAAATGAGAACATGCTTTTCTGTATTTTATGTTTATTTTATTTTGGCTTTTGAGACAGGGTTTCTCTGTGTAGCCCTGTCTTTTCTGGAACTCTCTCTGTAGACCAGGCTGGCCTGGAACTCAGAGATCCACCTGCTTCGCAAGTGCTGGGATTAAAGGCGTGTGCCACCACTGCCCAGGTATTTTTATTTTTAATTAAATTACAATTATAGCATTTCTCCCTTCCTTTTCCTCCATCCAACCCCTTCTATGTCCCCCCCGACACACACACACTCAAAGTCATGTCGTTTTTCTTTATTGTTATTATTATATGCATACAAACACATGAATTGATCACTACAACCTACGGAGTTTGTTTAGTGTTACTTGTATATTATTTCAGGGCTGACCACCTGGTATTGGATAATCAATTAGGGAGCTCATCCCCGGGGAAGACTAATTCTCCTGCTCTCAGCTCTCCTTGGTTGCCTGTAATTCTTTGTCTAGAGGTGGGGTGCCGTGGATTCCCCCTTCCCAGTCTGCATGCTAAAAGACATTTTTCTCCCAACCTTTAACATCAGCTATATGAACGCCAGCCTTCTCCGGGCAGATTCTTAAAATATCTGCCGTCAGCAGCCTCTCAAAGGGGAATGTTAATTGTTACCATGATGTCAAAGAGGCCCCAAGGGAAGGGCCTGGGCCAAACTCAGCCCATTACTCTCTGGCAGTGGCTGAGTGAGAGATAGATAGAGCAGACACACAGAAAACCTGGTCCTCTCAGCTGCCCAAACAGCCCAGGCAGCAGGGCAGGCGGGTACTGTGCAGCAAGGCTCTTCTTACCAGGACGATGGTCTTCCAGACGTTACCACCTAAGTGAGAAGCAGGCCTGGGGTGCTGGTTTCCTTGCCTCTGCCCTTACCAAGCCGGAATTGGGATGTCAGGAGTTTTGGAGGAGGATCCCGAGGGTCTGGGCCCTCTGGGTCTGCCAGCGTTGAGCAGAGCTTGCTTAACCACCGTGGACAAGAAACTTAACGCGCTGAGTGAGAAGGTTGACAGACTCTTGCATTTCCAAGAAGATGTCACAGAGAAGCTGCAGTGTGTGTGCCAAGGCATGGACCACCTGGAACAAGGTCTTCATCGGCTGGAGGCCTCCCGGGAGTTTGGTCTGGCAGGGCCTGACAGTCCTCCTCAGGCCACTGCTCAGGCTGCATGGCCTGAAGTCCTGGAGCTGGTGAGGGCCGTGCGGCAGGAGGGTGCTCAGCACGGTGCCAGGCTCGAAGCCCTCTTCAAGATGGTGGTGGCTGTGGACAGGGCTATTGCTTTGGTAGGGACCGCTTTCCAGCACTCAAAGGTGGGTGATGCCGTCACCCAAGGGAACGTGCCCTGGAGGAAAGGCAGCCTAGCTGACCGCTCTGAGGAGGTTGGTTCTGGATTCCCTGCCCTGGCTGGAGGGGGTTCCGGGACCCTGGTGGGGAGACTGGCCAGGAAATGATTCTTAGAAGAGCTGGGGACATTGTTTCCTCATCAAGCATTGTGTGTCCTGTTGATGGGGAAATGAAAGATGGAAACTTAGGGACTATAGACGGATTTTCATGCAGTCCACTGATCCCCGCTCTCTCTAAAAAAGGATGAGGTAGTGAGTGGTCCAGTCAGAAGGTAGGTCCCTTGGTCAACTCCTGGGCCACCTAGATGTGAGGGACAAACTAGCTGTGAGGAAGAGGAGGGTGTTGCACTTAACATTCCTGGGACTTCTCTGTCCTGGAGTAAGAGACATGGTCAATTTACCCCACAGCCCTTAGTCAACAACCCAACCCTCTCTGTCCCCTACACTGTGCTTTGTCCCAGAGTAGGCAAAGTGTGTGGCCGCCTGTGGGGAAATGAGTGTTGACAGTGACTCACAGGGGACAAGCAGAAGCCTGACTTTCCCCCAAGGTGAAAGATGGCATTTCTGGGAGTAGCTGTTCCCAAGGGTTGTATAATCACACCCTCTGGCTAATAGAAGCTTGCCCAATGGTCAAGGGTGTGTGTGTGTGTGTGTGTGTGTGTGTGTGTGTGTGTGTGTGTGTCTGTGTCTGTGTCTGTGTCTGTGTCTGTGTCTGTGTAGGGAACACCCTGTTTGAGAACAGCTGAGGACCAGCCACTTAGCAACACCAGATAACCTGGAGCCACCATTTAAGATTCTGTGATTATCATTTGCCCCTGGCAGGGAATGGATTGGGGTCTAATGAGGTCTGTGCTTGAAGAGGATGCCTTCCTTCCCAGCCCAGCAGGTCCCCAGCCCCCCAGCTGTCCCTCTTCTCCCTGTCTGAAGCTCCTTCCTCCTGGAGCACACCTCTCCCTCAGCTCCCTGATCCTGCTCTGCAGTCCTGGAAATGCTGGCCTGCAGAGAAAATGGGACACAGGGCTCTGGCTGCTGATAACCAGCCTGGATTTTGTGAAAGAAAAGGAATCTAATTACACTCCTAAAATAAATTGAATTAATGGCCTTAAAAAGAAAATTAAACTAAAATCTAAAATGTTTTTAATTTGATAATTTAACATGATAAAAGAAAAACATTTTTTGCTATAGGAGGCCCTAGGTTTAATCCCCAACACCAAAGTGAGTGTGTGTGTGTGGGGGGGGGGGGGGGGAAATCAAGCAAATATAAATCCAAGAAAAACTCATGAAAATCGTCTCCTTCCGATTTCACTCCTGGGTCCCCAGGAGACTCAGTTTCCAGGTTCCTATGAGCTATCCAGGTAAAGGTTTTGCAACTAAAAGCACATTGTGTGGGTAAAGCCTAACCAGCCTTTTAAAAATGTCATTTAAGGTGAAGTGTAGCTGCACTCGCCTGCAGGATGAGGAGCTTAGGGCCAGCCTGGGCTATATGGTGCCTTGTCTAAAAAAATAAAAAGTTATTCCAGGGGCTGTGGGTGGAGGTTCATTATGCCTTCAGTAAAGAAATTTCTCCTTGGTTTTCTGAGTGTGGGGAGTGAATTCTACCCCCTCCTGAGGGATATTTCTGCTACAAGATAGTAACTATTTACATAGCACATCACATTAGGAACCATACTCTACAGTGTATAATGTACAGAGGATTTGAAGTCCATAGGAATATCGAGGCTGGAGGCAAACACTAAGTCTCCTGTGTGTCCTGGATGCTATGGGGTGAATGTTCTTGAAGAGGTTGTTTTGTTTTGCTTATGATTTTGAAGTTTATAGTGTTGAAATATTAAAAATGCACGTGAGATCCCATTTTCCATCCATCAGAATGAAAAGAGTAGTGGAAGAGGATTAAAATGTTGGATAATGTGCTTTTGAGAGGCAGTGGTCTCACATTTATATAAGGCAGAGAACTGAGTGGAATGAGTGGTGTTGCTCAAAGGGGGCCTCTTACCCAGCATGCCCTGAGCCCACGTTTCAAACCCAGCACTACAGTAAACAAATAACAAGAAGAATTTAGCATTTGTGTCTAAAAGACAAGGGCTACCTCAGACACACAATCGTATCGCTGTTAGTGTATCCCTGAAGCAAACAGCTTTGCTACTATTTGAAGTTAGTATTCAAGCATCCCCGAATGTCTTAAACTTCTTAAAATTCTTACAGTTTCATTATTAAATCAGACCCAAATGAAGCAATTGGTGATGTCTTATAAAGCTAATTCTTCTTTTGAACTCATAAAAAACTGTCTTTTTAATAAGGAAAGCCTCAAACATAACCACAAGCAGACAGAATGACATATTTTAAAGCTTTGACATCTTTCACTAAAGGATGGACTATTGTTTAAAACCTTTTTGCATTTTCGGTGAACGACCTGTTCACAAACTTTCCTCCCCTTTCCTATTTCATTCCCTTCCTTTCCTTATTTATTTATAAGAGCTGTTTGTAGGGTAATGGGATGAACTGATGCCCGTGTTGTTATATACAGGCATCGCAGAGTGGGAAGTCAGGGACTGTCATGTCACTCTTGCTTGATTTCCTGTCTTCGCGGCCCCACTGCATCTCCCTCTGGTTTTGTGCTTAGTTCATGTACCATTGACTGTCTGCTGGGTTGGGTTCTGTCTTTCCATTACACTGCCAATTGTTAATTGGATCATGACATGCTTCTGCTGTCAGGAATGAACTTGGAGTTCAGAGAACTCTGCAAACTGAGGTGGGAGTAAAGCTTAATGTCCTTGGGCTTGCAAGATGGTTCAGTGGGTAAAGACACTTGCTACAAAGTCTGAAAGCCTGAGTCAAAAACCAGCGGCAGAAGGAGGAGAATGAATTCCTGCAAGTTGTCATGTGATCTCCAAGGGGGAAGGGCTCATGCTTACACACACACACACACACACACACACACACACACACACACACTCACACGCACACGCACACACACTGAATGAATGAATGAATGAATGAATGCAGTACTTGATGCTCTGGGACCACAAAGGAGCGAGAAGGGAACAGGACTGAGAGAAGTGAGTGGAGCAAAGGAAAACTGGAGGGGGATTTGGGAGATGGGAGGACTTTGGGGAACTGCCCTGGAGGATGACCCAAGGACTCAGGCCAGGAACGGAAAAACAAACCCTACCCTAAGTCAGAACAACATTCAAGCTGCTATGGTTCTGGTTGAGATTGAATTCCGAGGTCAAATCATGCTTGGGGGATGGGACACCCCAGTCAGTGTCTAACCCGAGCCTGGGAGCCGCGCGGGGACCCCACTTCAGCCTTCCCAGTGCAGCATTGTGGCAGCCACCTGGCCTCTCAAACTTGCTGCCTTGAACTCTGCTCTCAGCACCTGGGCGACCCTCTGCTTTTCTGCTTCTCACTTTCTCTCTGTGAACCGGGAATCATCCCATTAGTAAATACTATCTGCCTCAGAGAGTGGGCAGGAAGAGTGGGACCTAATCTGTGAAATGTTTGAAAAGTGTGTCCAGCACACAAAAGTTACTCAACAGCTACAGCTATTTTGAAAGAGTGACAAGTGTCAAGGGGCCGCTGTGTAAGGATGCTGAACGCTGGTCCAGAGACATGCCGGGCAACTCTCCTTTAAACCTAAAAGGTCTGCTAGAGACCAGGGCCTGATAGACAAGCTCAGAGCCCTGTACTGGTCCTGGACACTCTGTGACTGTCAGGGAGCTCTCCAGAAAAGGTTTCCATCTCTTGCTGGGACCCTCAAGGGTTTTGAACCTTTGACCAGTGTAGTCCCAAATGTGGCTCCTGGTGTTAAGTCACAGAAATAGCTCTGGTTTACATACCCTTGGTCCCCTGTACACCAGGGGATATGACTCATAGTAACAGGCCTCTCTCAGGCCCCAGTCACGGAGTTCCTTAATGGGGAGCCCAGAGATAAGGACAGCTGAAGACACATTTTGTCTGCAGCATTAAAAAGATTTTAACTGGTTTCCAACACTGAAGATTTAAATCTTTGGATTAAAACTCTAGAAAAAAAATCTTTGGATTAAAAATCCCTTTGAAGGTAGCAGAACTGTCCTATATCTTGTACATTTGTTGACCTGGTATGGTGGTGCACACCTTAAGCTCAGTACTCTGGAGGCAGAAGCAGGAGGATTTCTGTGAGTCTAGTCTTTAGAGGGCATTCTAGACCAGTCAGGGCTACATGGTGAGACACCGTTTCACAAAAAAGTTTATAGTTTGTATGTGAAATTTATTGTATACAAATGATGCTTTAATAAATTATTTTTTATTTAATTTTATACTTTAATAAGTCTGATTTAAACAAAAATCTAATTCCAGTTTCTCTTGTAAAACAAAGAAGATCTAGCAACTCTAGGCCCAAATGAAAAAGCTCAGATGGAGACCGTTCCTCAGCTCCCAGGCTGAGGTTAGCCATTGACTAATAGGATAGGTGCCCCATCCCCAATCATGGATTTGACTTTGGAATCCACTCTCAACCAGAGCTACAGCAGCATGAATAGTAGAGCTGAGTTGATGATTTAGGATTGAGCTGTTTTTCCCATTCCTAGCCTAGGAGCCTTGTACTGCAGTGTGTTTAGAACCTTCTCTCACGAGGCCCAGCGCCCTAGCTGTTCAGTGAAGCACTGGGAAGGATGTGGGTCCTGGGTTTGAGACTAGGCTCACCCGGCCTCGGTGTTTTTGTCCCCAAAGTGATAGTACTGTGCATCCCCTAACACTACTGTGGATCATCTGAAATAAACCAACTACATCAAAGTGTGTGGTAGGTGGTCCACGGATGTCTGAATGATGTGTTTTTATGTGGTTATTTTAGAACAAGGAACAAGCAGAAGTTACGGGAGTAAAGTCGAAGCATGTGCTGAGTCCCCGAGGTGAGCAAGCTGATCCCCCCAGGAAACTGTGGGAAGGTGAGCGGCTGCACCTGCTTGATTCTACTGCACACGTAAGGGTTCAGAATCAAGTACCAAGTGCATCACCATGGTGTGGTTGTTTTAGTTCTGTTTGGCTTTTTGAGACAGGATCTCATGTAGCCCAGGCTGGCCTCAAACTCCACCATGCAGCTGAGGATGACCTTGAACTTCTGGTCCTCCTGCCTCCATCTACAGAGTGTCAGAATTAAGGGTTTGGCTGGATTGCTTTTATAGAGGTTAATTCTCTCTTCAAACTTTACATGTCCGGCATGGTGGTGCACACCTTTAATCCTGGCACACAGAAGGCAGAGGTAGGCAGATCGCTGAGTTTCAGGCCAGCCAGGGCTACACAGTGAGACCCTGTCTCAAGAAGACAAATTCTTTTTTTTTTGTTTGTTTGTTTTTTAAGATTTATTTCTTTATTATGCATACAGTGTTCTGCCTGCAGGCCAGAAGAGGGCACCAGATCTCATTATAGATAGTTGTGAGCCACCATGTGGTTGCTGGGAATTGAACTCAGGACCTCTGGAAGAGCAGCCAGTGCTCTTAACCGCTGAGCCATCACTCCAGAACCGACAAATTCTTTTTTTGAATAATATTTTTAGGGTTCTAAGGTCAGATTGACAAAACAAGGTTTGCTAAGAGAAGTCCAGTTTATGTCCTTCCTCCCTAAGGCCTTTATTTGTGATCATTTAAAAGGTTCTTATCTTGCCTGCCAGGTCCAGTCTATGCAAAGCACTTGTAAGCAGTTATGTATTTACACATGTGCACACTCACAAACACCCTCCCTTCCTCTCTCAGTGTGTATTGGTCTGCACGTGTCTGTGCACCACTTGTGTGCACATTGTGGAGACCAGAGGAGGGCATTAGATGTCCTGAAACTGGGGTTACAGACAATGGTGAGCTACCTTGTAGGTACTGGGGATCAAACCTGGATCCTCTGGAAGAGTAGGCAGTGCCTTTAACTAGAGAGTCACCTCTCAAGCCCATATTTCTCATTTTAAAAATGGCTATACAACACTCCATTGGGTGGGTGTTCTGTCACCCAGACACATCTCCCATGTGTGGGCTATGTGCAGTTTTGGCTTTTATTGATGTGGTACATGGAATGACACATATATGCCCACCTTTCCTTTGTGATCCATTTCTCTTGGAGTGCATTTCACCCCTCCTGTTACCATGCAGAGAGCCAGGAGGACGCGCCAGTGGGTAGAGTGGAGAGGCTGCCTCTCATCATCAACACTTCACTGAAAGGAGCTGACTGCACCCCGGCAGGAGCCTCACTGAGGCAGGGAGTTGAAGTTCTTGGCCCCAGCCAAGCAGCCCCACCCACAGAAGCAGAATCCAGGCTTCCCGAAACATCCAGTGAGAATACTGGGACTACCCTGGAATTGTCTGTAGCACTGGACAGAATCAGCGAGGTCCTCACCAGCCTCAAGATGTCACAAAGTGAGGGACAAGGAACCTCATCCAGCAAGTCTGACTCTTGGCTCTCAGAAGAGGGCATGAGACTGAGTTCAGGGCCTAGCTCTCAGCCCTTGGGGCCACTGACTCCAGCCAGTGAAGTTCACGGTGGTGAAGCACTCCCCAGGTAAGGGATGTTCTTCTGTGTTGGCCATGGGTGGAGTTGGCTGCACCCCTTGACATGCATCATGGCCAGTGGCACATGTTGGGTGACCGCTGCATATAGAGAGCTGCACTAGACTCAAAGGGGAAGACCTTATGTTTGGGATCCTGGGGGTGCCAGAATCTTCCTGGCCATGAAAATTACCTGGAGGTAGGGAGTGGGGTTTACAAAGAAATATCCATGCCCAGAGATTCTGATTCCTTTGGTCTGGAGTGATTCTCAGGTGCCATTCTTGAATTTTTGTTTTTCTTTCTAATGGGGAATAGGGATGAGAATGACTAACTTTTAGATAAATAGTTACTTCAGCAAGTGGGTTTCACAGAGCACTCTGTCACGTGCCAAGCACTGGTATAGACTTCTGCAGCCATCATCTCATTTTATTCTCCCAGTATTCCCAGCATGTGAAGGTGGTTGTGTAGCTAGAGTTTTCCTGCCT